GATGGTGCTCGGCCTAGTGTCTCTCCCCCAGATGACATTAGATGGTAAGTAAATAACTAAATTTAAATAAGTAAATAAAATATTGTAAGAATTAAAAGGGAAAATGGAATTTATATGGTGAAGAAGATGCAAAGTCAAAAAAGAAAGTTTCAGAACTGGGAGTGAAAATGTAGAAAATGCTTTCTTTTTTAAAATCTTGTATGTGAAACAGTAGCCAGATGTATTCATATCATAAAGCCACAATTTCTTTAACCCAGTTGTGGTTGGTTCGAATATATATGAAACCACGTCTTGTTGTGTACCTTCAATTATGGTAGTTTCCAACTTAAGACAACCCTAAGGCTATCCCTATCACAGAGATTTCTTGGCATGATTTGTTCAGAGGTGTTTTTCCTTTGCCTTTCTCTGGGGCTGAGAGAGTGCAGTTTGCTCAAAGTCACCTCATGGGTTTCTATGGCTGAGCAGGGATTCTAAACCTTGGTCTCCAGAGTCATAGTCTAATGCTCAAACCACTATACCACACTAGCTCTCAAGAACCTTGCCCTGCTCACTGCTAGAAAGTAGCCTCTGGATACCATTCCCAAACTAGAATTTGATAAACCATTATGTATGTTTTGGGTACAAACCTCAATGTGAAGCCATGGTTTGTTCTTAATGTCTGAATCCTGGCTTGCCTTAATCATGGTTTATCATTATGTGTAAGACTACAAATTCTACTTAATTTATTGTTTATTTTGGCGACTTGTCCCAGCAGTTTGCCAAGTAGCAGAGGCAGGAGTATAAAGCAGCTAGAAAGTGAAATAATTTCATAAGCTGGGAAACTCTAGCATTATTCCTGAACTTTCTCTCCTTGTCTTTCAGATCAGTTTACCTAGGTTTGCTGCTACTGAGAAGTGCATTTAAAGCAGACTGGGCAACATGCAGCCTGCCAATGTGGTGTAGTGGTTTTAGCATTGGACTAGGACTCTGAAGAACAGGGTTCAAATCCCCACTCAGTCATAGAAATTCATTGGCCAACCTTAAGCAAGTCACACTCTCTCAGCCTCAGAGGATGGCAATGGCAAATCCCCTCTGAAGAAACTTGCCAAGAAAACCCTATGATGGGTTTGCCTAAGTTGAAAAGAACTTAGAGGAACCCAGCAACAAATCCCATCAAAATCCACTGTCATCTGAACTACTAAAATTGCAGTGATTCCTCCCTTCTTTTTCTGTTGCTTCTTTTAGCAACAGAGCAGCCGAGCGGGAATTCGAACCCTGTTTTCCAAAATCCTAGTCCAACCAGTGCACCATGCTTCATTTAGCAAAAGAAGATTTAAAAAAGTGCTCTGCATTTAAATAGTTCAATACCCTATGATACAGGAGGATATTTTGGCTCCCTCTTTTCATATAGGAAGCCAACACCATTGCTGCTGAATTTCAGCATCAGTTGCAGGGCTGTTGACAAATTTGGGGTGGTGTAGTCCCTGGTTCTGAAGAATGTAGTATGGGAACTAACCTTCCAAAGCTGCCCATTTCTGGTTTAAAGAGATCTTCACTTACGGTACTTAACTTAGCAGTATGTTGGCAATACAGTTCAACTCCTTAGCAAGATACCCTGAACATTTCTGTTGTTTCTTCATTGGCTGACTTTTTCCTCTTTTTTTTTTTTTTTGGTTGAGAAAATCATATTCGTGAGTCATGATCACAAAGTGCTTACCGCTTCACTGACTGAACCTTGTGTGTTTGTTAGATGAGTGGGTTTTGATGAGAAGGGATGCCTGTGTTCAGGGGTAGATTTCAGGACTTGGTCAGCAGCATGCCATGAGCAGATGCGTTGATCTCTTGGAAGCTTTCTTGCAGCAGACTAAAACATCTGCAGTGTTAGCATGCACAAAGTAAATTTCTGTGGGGTAGTTCATTATCAGCAGGATAGGTATCCACATGCTCCTTCATCTTGGAAAGTCACCTGTGTGAACTGCTAATACATTATGTTGTATTGGATAACAACAACAACAACAATGAAACCACTTTCTTTGGGGTTGTAAGAAAAGGTTGACCACCTCAGGGACTGATGGTCCTTGAAGGGAAAGAAAGCTTTCAGGATACTAGCTGGGAACTGGCAGAAAATGAAGCAAGAAAACAAATAAGGAATTGCTTTAGGTGTGGGATGGTTTAATTTTTTTAGACTTTCTGCCTTGTTCTGGGAACCATTATTAATGTACAGTTGGCCCTCCATATCTACGGATTGTGTATCCCCTGATTTAATTATCCAATGCTTGAAACTATTCAGTAACAATAACAAAAACATTAAAAAGTAAACCTTAATTTTGCATCATTTTATTACACTATTGTATATAATGGGACTTGAGCATCCACAGATTTTGGTATCCATGGTGGTTCTGGATACTAAGTCCTATCTTAGTATCATGTGAGAATGTGATTCCTTCATTAATTTTATATGTGGTAATTTTATTTTTCGAGAAAGTAGATGTCCTTCAAACACTCTCCTAAATCATGCTCTGTGTTTCCTTGTCATTTTTCATTTTTATACTTAAAAATAAGGTGATTTCTCAATGTTTTAAAATTTTCTTGCAAACTGTTTATAGTCAGGAAAAGGAGAAAAATATGTCAGAACGTATTAACTAAACTAATTGAGGACTAACAGTGGATCTTGTTTAAATTTCTTTAAGAATGTGGAGAAAACATATTCTTTGACTTTTCTTTTTAATTAGCAGGTGCCAGCTGCTTCAAGCAGAGAACACCTGTGCTATCTGAGGTATAAGGGAGTTCAGAGCCCAGTTCCTTTACATACCAGTCAGAATCAGAAATAACTGATTTCAATGGAAATGTTAATGGCATTAATTTCTGTCAATCTTGTGTTGAGATCTGGAAAAGGTTCATAGGTACTTATTTGGAGAGCTATTGACAAGGCATTTGGATTGCAAGTGTTCATAGGATCACAGGCAGTCTAAATCTAAGTCCAATCGAAAGACTGTTTGTACATCCTGGCACTTTATGATGAGTGAATCCGCCTCAGCAAGTAAGGCTGCACCCACGCTGTAAAAATAATCCAGTTTGACACTGCTTTAATCGCTATGGCTCAATGCTGTGGTATTTTGAGAACTGTAGTTTTGTGTGAGAGGTCTGGTGCCACAACAAACCACAGTTCCCAGATTACCACAGCATTGAGCCGTGACAGTTAAAGTGGTGTTAAACTAGATTATTTCTGCAGTGCAGATGCAGCCTAGTTTGTTGTTTCACCAGAACCTGCTGTTAGGAGCCATGGGTTGTGGTGTTATGAACTCTGACTTTTTGTCATGGTGCCCAAGCCCAGAAGTGCCCAGCCTGAAGCAGTAGCTGTCAAAAGGACAGGAGAGAACAAACCAGTAATGAATGCAACTTGTGGCTTAACCATTTATTCTTTCAATGTATTTCTGTAAAATCAACAAAATCCTACCTCTCCCTTTGTTATTGGTAAATATGCACATGTCATGAATAAAAATAAATGCTATTTTTCTGTTTGAAGTGCTTATTTTATTTGTATTTTATAAAATTTCATTAAAATGGGAAATGCAGTTCCGGTCTGGCATACAGCTGAGCAAGTCTGAAACTTGTGAGATCCACAGTGAGCAACCCTTTCTGTCCAGTTTTATATGTGTACACTGATAAGATCTTTGCTAGTGGCAACAGAGCAAGGAGGAATTTTGGGTTTGTGGCAGACACAGCTCAATGAAAAGTTGACCAATGTTTGGCTGGTTTTTTTCAGGGGGGGATGGTAAATTCCTTATTAGGTATGATTACAAAACCAGTACAGTTCTGTTGTTATACAAATTTGTGGGGTGACAGCAGTTGGAAGATTGTGTAAAGTTTTGGTCAACATACCTTAAATAAGATATTGTAGAGCTGGAAAATGTACAGAAAATAACAGCCAAAATAATCAGGTTGCTGGGATAACTCTCCTTTGATGAAAAGCTAAGCTATCTGGAGCTTTTTAAATGGGAACAAAGGTAAGGAAGGGATGATAGAGAGAAAGGAAGATAAAGAATATCCATGGCCGCTGATCATGGTGGTAATATATATTTGCTTTTTTGTTATGTGCTTTCAAGTTGATACTGACTTATGGTGACTCTGTCATAGGATTCTTGGCAAGATTTATTCAGAGGAGGTTTGCCATTGTCTTCCTGTTAATATAGCCTACAGGACTTGGTATTCCTTGAGGGTCTCTCTTTCCAAGTGCTAGCCAGGTGTGACCTGCTTAGTTTAAGATCACATGGGATCTGGTGCCTTCAGGGTATGTAGGGTATTGGTTGTATATTAACACCAGCGTAAGAGGCAGAGTGGCTCTGTGTACAATTTGGTGCATGTAACGTCCTGCACGAGAGAGACTATGCAGAGAGAGGGCTAGGTGACTCTTGCATGTCTGCCCTGACTCTCAGAGTAGTTAAGAGCAATTACAGGATGTTAATGTGCCTTGGTTTTATGTTCTGCCTGAGCATGTAGGACAGATAAATAGGAAGGTGATGACTTTCAGCATTTTATTTATTTTAAAATATCTATGTCCTGTCAGGCAAAGGGGTCAGGAAAGGCTGCATCCTATCAGCCTACTTGTTTAACTTACATGCTGAAAACATCATAAGAAAAGCAGAATTAGAATCAGAAAAAGGAGGAGTTAAGATGGGTGGAAGCAACATTAACAACCTAAGATATGTGGGCGACACCATAATATTAGCAGAAGATGTTCAGGAATTGGAACAGTTAATAAGAAAGGTCAAAGATGAAAGTGCAAAAGCAGGTCTGAACATAAAGAAAACAAAAATAATGACCACAGAAGAAATACACAAATTCAGTCTAGACAACGAGGAAATTGAAATAGTTAAAGAATTTTCATATCTGGGATCAAACATTGACCAGAATGGAGACTGCAGTCAAGAAATCAGAAGAAGGCTAGGAATGGGAAAGAACTGGAAAAGATACTGAAGAGCAAAGACAAACAACTGAGCACTAAGGTCAAATCGTTCAGGCCATTGTATTCTCAATTACCATGTACGGATGCAAGAGCTGGACAGTGAAGGAAGCAAACAGAAAGAAAATCAACTCACTTGAAATGTGGTGCTGGAGAAGAGTACTTAGGATACTATGGAGAGCCAAGAAGACAAACAAATGGGTTCTTGAACAGGTCAGACCAGGGCT